TCATGGCACATTTCCAACATTAACAAAAATATTATAAAGGAAAAGATTGTCTCTGTTCTTATGCATACTTGAAAATTCAAAATATTTGACTATTTGAAATTACTTCTGAAGAATGGACATGATAATATTCTAGAACTTAACAAATATTTTGGTCAACATTTTCCAGTTGGGGTGACCAGAGCTTAGGGATTTAGGTTTTTCTGTGCAATGCAGGCTCACTAGCTGGACCTTTGTTTCCTGCTAGCACAAGGCAATGACACTAACCTCTGAAGATCACCCACAACCCACAACCAGCACAGGGACCTTCTGCCCTTCCTGTCTAGCTGAGGGAAACTTGGATGGAGCCTCTCTGCACTTCAGCGGTTCCCAGCTGCCTTCCTGACCCGGGTGGGCTGGCGGCAGCAGCGGATGATGCAGCCAGCAGTTTTCGGACTGCTCCATCCAACGCTGGGCAAACAGCCTCTATTCAGGCTGCTCAAAAGCAGGACGGTCCTTTTACTCCTTCGTGCTCATGCTGACACTGTGGCTATAAATCCTGCTTAGGACAGGGAGCCTGATAGGGTGAGTACTCATAACAGAAGTGGTGGTAAGTTGATTATACACATAAAGAGTTTTCAAAGCCACATCCCATTTCCTCAAAGAGAAAGTTGCACATTTGATTCAAAGTCTATTTTCATTGACTTCACTATCGGCTATGATCATGTGGAAAACCAAAATCTTATTATGCAGGTACCTAAACAAAGGCACCCTCATCTGCAAATATTGGCTTCACTTCATTCTATCCAAATAATCAGACTTACTGACATTTTACAGGAAAATTATCTCTACAGAGGATTTTTCACATGAATATATATATATATAAAAATTTCTTTCTTCTTACTACTAAGGATTTAATTGTATGGTTCAGGATCCTTGCTGTGAAAGCACCCTTCTGCATCAGTGGAGATATTTCCTTTGACACTCTAAAGCTCAGTGAAATATCCACAACAGCCCAAAAGCTGCATAAAATTAATCTTCAGTTTCCAACACAGTATAGGAATTCTTGCTACATTCACTGAAAAGATCAGCAAAGGTCACAAATTCGGATGTACTTAAGGACATGTGAAGTTCTTTTCATCAAAATCAATGTCCAAGTACTCCCAGTTATAGCAGAAGTGACATTTCATTTCAGAAGAATGTTTTCACATTGTTCTGCCCTAGTCACAATTAGTAGCTACTATCATTTTAACACCTATTAGCAGTGGATACATGAATAATTCTACCAGCTACAAAGTAACGGGCTGAGATTTTTGTAGTGGACAATTTATAAAAATGCAATAGGTATTTTTACAATAGGGATATAGTTATGCTGGCATAAAATCATGTCTATTCATATGTCTTCCTATATGATTTAGTAAGCCATATAAATTAATAACTGCAAAGGATCCTGCGTCATACAAAGGCTGATTAGAGATACAGGCCTCATCAAATCTCTATAAAATGCTGCCCAGGGCCTGGGTGAGGTTCACATCCACACTGGGTTCACATTTTGCAGCATCTCCTCCCACTAGAAAGGAGAAAATTAAATCCTGAATTTGAAAATGCTGAGAAGTTTGGGGTATTTGGCTTCCTAATCACAATCCAAATTATAAAAATGGAGCCCCGTCTTTAGGTAAGGACAAAGGAAGAAAAGGACTGGTAAAGGAGAAAGAAAATCAATGAGAGAAATAGATTTTTCTAAGCAGACTGTATTAGAGTTTTCCATGAGGTATCAACTATTCTTTAACACACAGCTGTGTGGAACTTCTTATTAAAAAACGTTTCTAAAGACATATAATTAAATGCAGGGGGGTTGAATATTGTAGAAAACAACTATAGTTTTGTTGGATTTAATCCATTTAAATTTAATCCTGATTCAGTGTGAAACAGCAAAAAACAAAATATGAAAAATAAAAGAATAGGGAATTATAATGGAAAGGCCAGCTCAACCTTAGCTATAGCAGTAATACGAACATTACTAGAATACAACAATTATAAGCAATACATCAATAGGTATGTATAATAGATACATTTAGGGCTTGATATCTGTGGTAGACCAGTTGCTCAAGGCCACTAAAATATTAATTTACATCCAACACCACATAAATGTGCAAGAACTTCAATTCAAATGAGCAACAGCGGACATTTTTGTGCACTGTGCAGAATACACAGGCTGAAATAAACTTTCAACTTTGGAACATATTGTTAGCCTGCCCTTTATCAGTGGAAAGACCAGAAACTTCTATGCGCATCCTGGAGGTATGTGGTTTAATCTGTGGTGCTGAAAAAGAAAAGTCATCAAAGACAATCTTGAATAAAATTGCAAAGGGACAGACCATTACGCACACTTCTTTTCTCTGAAATCCTCAAAGCAATTCACGTTTGAGGGCTTGCTTTTCTGCACACTCTTTGGATACCATAATTTTGGCCTTCATTACAGGGTAGAGGTTATATTAAATAATATTTGGCCTGCTTTTTTATTATAACACATCTGCATGTGATTTTGTTCAGTAGAAATTAAAGATGAGACGCTACATACTGGCATTGAGGTTGAGTTTGGTCAACCACATAAAATAATACTTTGCACTTTTAAATGCCTTTCATCAGAGGATATCCAAGTGCTTTGCTAACATTAGTCAAGCCTCACAACACCCCTGTGAGGTAGGTAAAATACATAGGAGGAGGAGGATTTCACTCAACTTGGACATGATAGTATCTCTGGGCATTAGGTTCAGTAGCATTGTAACATAGCACAAAGGTTTAGGGCTTACTATAAGGCAAAGAGTTAACAGTACAAGAGCACAGGATTCATTCTTCTTTTTGTTATATGTGGTCAAGCTAACATGCGGTGCTACGCAGCACCAAACAGTGGAGCAAATGCCCACACAAGGATTTCATGCACCCAATCCACAAACAGCACCCTCTGCACAGTAAAAGACACAAAGTGACAGGCTCAAGATGGGTATGACAGCTTAGTTATGGGATGTGTCTAACGGTTCTTGAGGACCAGAGTACCATGGGAATGAGAGCCCAGAAAAAAATACCACCTCCACACAATTCTGATAATATCTGAAGATGCTTGGGTTTGGTTCTTTTTGCACTAACGTTTCAATTCACAACTTACTGGGGCTAAGCAACTGCAACTGTAAAGCATGTTGGTAACTTCCACACGCCATGAATCATAGAATCATAGAATCATTAAGGTTGGAAGAGACCTCTAAGATCATCGAGTCCAACTGTCAACCCAACACCACCATGCCCACTAAACCATGGCCCTAAGTGCCTCATCTACATGTCTTTTAAATACCTCCAGGGATGGTGACTCAACCACTTCCCTGGGCAGCCTGTTCCAATGTTTAACCACTCTTTCAGTGGAAAGAAGGTTACAACCACATAAAATGGCTGTTCTCTACTTTGGCTGGCCACATGTTCCCAAGGCACAGGGCCATGATGTGGTCAGATGGTTGTGGTAGGCTGGGATGGGATAAAGAAACGCTGTCGTACATCTACATTCCCCCTCTGAAGCTGCTGCAACCTGCCTCCCGAAAACTCTCTGTAGTTTTGTGGGTTTTTTTTCTCCATGGTGCAAACATGGGAGAGTATTTGGCCCCCGTCAGTTTTATCCTCAACACTTTGCACCAATGGTGCAGATGGTCATTGTACAAGTATCAGTTCCACTGTATCACTGATCTTTCAGATTGAGAAAAAAGAAACAAGCATATGATAAGAAAAGCATCACTCATCTAGAACAGTCTACATGAAATACAAGGAAAGAAAGAAAACCATGTTCTCAGTATTAGCCAGCACAAATAAACACAACACCCCCCTTTCTCCATATTTCGCTTTTCTAATTTGACATAAATTGTACATCCCATATTTGCAAAAGTATTGCCCATGTGGAAAATCTGACCTGTGTATCATAATAAATCGCTACAGAGGCTGGTCTACCACATGCAAGACAGCCCTCTTGGTTAATTTTATGTCTTTGCATGCAAGGTAATTCTCCCTGTTTGCTAATTTCCATTTGAATCTTATGTTTATTTATAATACTTGTGCACTATCAGCTGTATAACTTACTACTGCACAGGTTGGGTGACCCATTGTGAATACCACTGCCTTGTAAAATTGCTGAGAAGAGGTGGTTCGTGGATTCTGTGCAATCAATGCAAAGCTCCCCTCAAACACTGCATACGTTCACAGCTAAAACTACCCTGTTCCACTGATCAGCAGTGAATAAACGCCTATAACTATAATGCATGGATTATGTCCTTCTCTCTCATTCTCGTTTTCTCTCGTGCCTCCCCCCCCGCCCCTTCCTCTCTCTCCTCGTTTTCTATGCTGTTTATTTAAATATGGGAATATGGAGACTGCAGATACAACAACTCGAGAAATGAGCTGGCATCTTTGTAATCGTTAAGAGACAATCTGAGTGGTAGACTAATTGGCAGCTAGCAGGAAAGCTGACTTTACATCTCATACTGCCCCAAGTTGGAAGCCTTCCGTATTTCCTTTTCCTTCCTTTCTTTTTGTCCATTGCAATACTGATTGTCGTAGATAGTCTTTGTGCTTTGTATAATGCCCATCTTTGATGTAACTGGAACTCACATTCAAAATGTGGCTGTTATACATAAGCATGCTAGAATACAGGCAGGGACGGTACAAGCATGCACAAAATAGTCTTTGAAGGGTTTTTTGTTTGTTTTTCTTCAACATTTACATGCACCACTTAATATCATGTTTGGCTGTGTACACTGAGGACTGGATTTCACAAGCATTCATGGTCTTCTCTTCTGAAAAGCTTCTTGACAATTTCACAAGAGCCCAGTGTAAAAAAAAAAATCCCACAATTAAAAAGAAAGGAAAAAAAAAACCTTCTCCCTGCAATCTGATCTTGTCTTCATGATTTTAATGTTGAACACTTCTAAAATGTCTCCTCTTCCTCTTGCAGAGCTTCATGTTAAATGGTTGGCTGGAAAGACAGATTAGTGTGTCAAGGATTTTCTTAGCCACTGGAATAGTTCTTCCTTATAAAGCCTTTGCCACCGCACATTGGCTTCCACTGTTTCCACAGCACGAGAGAAAGAGACGGCAGCTCCCTCTTCATAACTCTTTATAAAGTTCTTTAGCTGGAAATACAAGTTAACAGGTTAAGTTTGCAGGAACTAAAGAAAGTAAGTATTTCCAGTGCACACAAACAAGTCAGCCATTTAGGACAAACCTCTAAGATCACTCTTGAAGTAAATGTAGTATGGTGTAGAAAGATTTAATAGGAAATGTAATAAGACAGCAGACTGTCAATTATATCATGCAATTGCTTCAAATTGCACTGGAAGATATTGACATGTCAGTGCTGGATCACATTAGTATCATTACCTCCTTCTCTCCTGTAGCCCAGCTGCTGCACTGCGCAGACAGCTGGGCTGCTCTAAACTTTTATTTCTACCTGAGAAACCAAACTGGGAGCACTGGAAATGCTTCTAATTCAGGTTTATATGCAAATATCAGCAGAAGGCAGCTCTGATGCCCTTTCGTTTTATCAACCTTCATAACAAATTTATTTCATTTTTATCTGCAGGACCCTTTTGATGATATAATGCAGGTTGGTTGTTTAGAATAGGGAGGGATGGTTACAGTGTGAAGAGAATGGCAAAATAGCAAGTGGGCACTCATTTGACGGTCTTTGAACGCCTGAAACAGATTATTTCCTTTATGAGAAATCTTTGATCTTTTTTCAGCAGACTGAAAAGGCCTCTGCTCTGTTCTTGTGTATACTCAAATTGTAGCACTATCACCTGGATTATTACAGCTGATGGCACTGGTGTGCTTTGAATTACTGTTCTTTTTAAGCGAGAACCGCAAGGCTGATCTGCACAGTAGGTTGCTGGTTATGTTGACTTTTATAAAATTAGGTGGGTTTAGCAACACTTATTTATAACTAGTTAATTTTTGTTTCCCGGTGACACCAAATTCACCTTGTTTATTTAAATCTAACTTCCAACACATCTCTTTGTGCATGGGCTCAAAACTCAAAAGGCTGATACTGCAACTCTCTCATTCCCATCACACTTAAAAGCATGGGAGGGACCTGGAAACTATCGAAATCAGCCCTTACCTGATCTCTGTACTTTTTATACCAAATTGTTTACATGGCCAGTTTCTTTTAGGGGAAATATAAACAAGCAGCCTGCCAATGCTATCATGGAGGTGGAAACTAAGAGTACAGAAGGCATCCTTGTGCAGCGCAGATACTCAGATCTCGCCAGCACTGTCCTCCCACCTGGGTAGCTTTGAAGAAACCAGCTGCAGCTCTGCCCTAAGTTCCTGAGGCCACTAGACTTGAGTGCAGACAAATGGTTGGACACAAAATATCATAGCGCAATCAGAGTTCAATTAATGGTGATTATGCTGCATAAGAACCATTTGATCCATTTGGGGTAATTGTCGAGCACCTGCTATGCAGAGCATAACACAACTGCACAACTACCTCAGTCAGGGCAGATGTTAAGTTAAAATGAGAAATCATTGCAATCTAAATAAGAAGTACTTAGCAGTACTTAGCCAGGAAGGCTGGACGATCTTCAAGAAGGAAGTCTTAAAGGCGCAGGAGCAGGCTGTCCCTGTATGCCGCAAGAAGAATGGGCGGGGAAGACGACCGGCCTGGCCGAATGGGGAGCATTTGCTGGGACTCAGGACAAAAAGGAGAGTTTACCGCCTGTGGAAGAAGGGGCAGGCGACTCAAGAAGAGTACAGGGATCTCGTTAGGTCGTGCAGAGAAGAAATGAGAAAGGCAAAAGCCCAGCTAGAACACAACCCGGCCGCTGTCGTTAAAGACAACAAAAAAAGTTTTTACAAATATATTAATGACAAGAAGAGAGCCAGGGAGAATGTCCATCATTTATTGGATGCGGGGGGGAACATTGTTCTTTGCCTCAGTCTTTAGCAGGCAGACCAGTTATCCTCAGGGTACTCGGCCCCCTGAGCTGGAAGACAGGGACGACGAGCAGGATGAACCCCCCATAATCCAAGAGGAAGCGGTCAACGACCTGCTACGTCATCTGGATGCTCACAAGTCTATGGGGCCAGATGGGATCCA